GTAATACGATGCATGCTAACAGCTGTGCTATCTGGGGGAAAGTTCACAGTACATCTCACCCAGTTTCCACATATGCTTTACACAGCAACAACCAAAGAAAACATTACTGCACAGTGTTATAACAGAATTATGAAGAAACCTATCAAGAGCTCAGAAGGGAATGTGGACACATACCCTGTCCCACCAGAACCATAACTCATGGAAACATAAGGAATTGATGACTCATGGGTCATCAAACCAAGTCCCCTGTTATCACTAGCAACCAGATCATATAATTATTCTTATAAACTGATCAAATTTGAAACTATTTTAGTTTTTCCCCCATTACTTCTGTGAAACACTGTTCCCGAACCTCACTGATTTCCTAATTTCAACTTTAGACTCATTTGTTCTCATGTCAACACTGAACTTTAGTAACTCTTCTCTTCTCCTAGTATTTATCCACTCTGGTATATTTATAGAAAGCAATCCTATCCTTTCAGTCTTTGTTTTGCTATATTAAACACTCCAAACTTTTATCCTCTTTTAAATGAATAGGCTCTCCATTCTCTTGGTCACCTTGGTAGTCCCTCGCTGCACTTGTTTCATCTTAAGTTCATTTTTCTTGAGAATGAGTAACCAGAATTGTACAGAGCATTCCAGATGAGCTCATATCAATGCCTTGTAAAATGCAATGTTAAAAAGAAGAAAACCAAAAAACCCACACTCTTTCCTATCTCCACTGGAAATACCTTGCCTGGTATATCTTAGAACTGCATTTACCTTTTCCACAACACCACCAGATGTGTGCAACACAACTCCCAATCAAACTGTTACATAACTGGCTTTCTGTGTTGAAGATGCTTAGTCCCGATCCTCTGACAGGCAAAGAACCTCCTGTTTTACTGTAAGCTATCACTGCTACTTCTCATCAACTGGGAAAAGGAAGAGTAAATAAGTATGGTAGGGTGACATTTCCCTTGTTTTTGGAAAATGCTTCCTATAAAAAGAGTAGAATCTAGATGCAGCAATGCCTGCACTGCCACTCTTATTTCAACTTCTGAAACTATAATAAAAGCGCTCCAAATATAAGTTTTAAATATAAGTATTTCACTGTGCGTCCTAGCAGCTTCTCTCTAAAAAAACATCTAACAGGGGCGGATACTGGATAGCCTCAAACGTTTAGTTTGAATGTATGCAAAACTTGTTGCAAAACCATATAATGTCAATCCTCTCAAGTAATCCTAAAACACATAGCAGAACACTAACTTGGTAAGGGCTTATATTAAGCATCTGCTTCCTATCTAGAAAAGCGCATACAAAAGTTTGTTTTGTTTACTTTAACATGAAACCAGGTGTTTGTTTGGGTGCAATAATCAAACATGCTGCAAACACATTTCCTCAAACTGTGATTTCTGAAGATAAGCAGAGCCATAGTGGCTTACTCGGGTAAAGTACTTCCAATGAACATCCAGGTACTGCAAGAAGTAGGGATGATTTAACAGCGAGTTCTTTCTCTGGATCTACCCAAACTGTTGGGAGCAAGGGACAATTCAAGTCACGAGGCATCTAATATTCAGTTATTATTGCTGATGTCCAAATCCTACTGCTAGAAAGAAAGTTATTTAATCTCAGCTCACAGGATGCTAGGAATGCTTTTGTGTCCCTCCTCACTTATTGAACAGCACTCTTTCATAATTATTTAAAACATTTTTCTAGTGTAGTGGTAGGGAACAGTTGCTACCAGAGGCGTTTTCTTCAGTCTGAGACCACAAGAAGTTTCAGCAGCATTTTTAGGCAAGTATTCTTAAGCCTTCGTATGTAATCATGCTCCATTTAGTTTCTTCATCTGAAGCTACAGGGACCATATATTATTGATTTCATCCAACAAACAGAATTAACGCTGCTGATGTTCCACACTAAAAGATGATGACACCTCTTTGCAGAAGCATAAATCTCATATTTCAGGCAGAAAAAAACATTTGGGATTAGAAGTACATTAGAAGATGCATGATGTGGACATAAACACCATGGGTATAAGTGACCGTGCCAATCTAACATATACTGCTGTAATTACGAAGCTATACCCTGGAATATTTAGTAAATATATAACCTGTATACACTGCAACTGCCCTCCTATTAATCAATGTTGTTCTCCTAAAGTTACATATGTTCTGTAGTAATTGGCATTTAATTTAGGGGTAAAATTTAAAAGAAAGAAAGAATCTATAGGACCCAGAGCTAAAATTATGCAGAAGTATCTGCAAACAACTTTAACAGTAGTCTTTTAGCTCCCCTTTAAAAATTCTGTATTCCCAGACTATCTTCATTATCACACTCTTATAACAGCATACCAACTAAGAATGCTTCTAATTTAACACAATTATATGTGCAGTTTAACAGGTTTTCCTTGCCGGGTTATTACTAAATGTCACATCATACAAAGCAAAACCAGTAAGCAATGTTAAAGATCTCATGCAGTTGCCACATGGCACCTACATTTTGCAATAAGGCCTTAACAGATAACACAGTATTTCCCAAGGGGCAGCGTTTAACACCATAGAAAACCAGAAAAACAGGATGGTTTTTCACTACCTTGCTCAAATCCTATCAATGCTTAATTATTTTCTCTAGCTTTGATATCTAGCAAATATTACAAACATTTTAAGATGAACAATAATATATTAAACTTGCAGGAGAATATAATTAAATACAAAATTTTCTCACACTGAGGTATAAATAATTCTAAAATCCCCAGATCTCCACGATTATTAAAGAAACTCAACTACTCATTTGTTTACCTATTCAGCACAGGAGTTCCCAAAGGTCTGAGTAGAATGAATCTTGTTTCCACTTTTACTGATGTTTGCAGTAGGATCTAGCAATGCTGGATTGATTCAACATTGTTATGTATTTTTTTATAATGCTTTTATATATAATCTTTACTGTAGGAGTCTTTCTACAAGTTAGTGCTCTACTTTAGCAAAAAAGGGTAAAGAAATTATTTTTCCTTACTCTATTTTTGGGTGTAGTCTCTCATCTTCAAAGTCTTATCCATCTGTTTTTCATAAAACTAAGATATTTTTAAGATTTCTGACACTTCATTGCTGACTCTGCTTAATCACATATAAATCAAAACAGCATGGAAAGTGTGTGTGTCTGGGTTTTTGTTTTCCTGTACATCAAATATAACACTAGATTTGTTATTCTTAAATATAATTTTTAAATTGGACAAAAACAGGGACTATTATTTGGCCATTACTCAACTGCACTTTACTGTACCAACTTTGAATAAATGCCTACAGGTATTGTATGCATTAAATAACTATTTACACTAAAGATCAGATGCAATATTTAGAGCCTAACATTAAAATAACCTATTCAGGGAAATCGGAAGGGGGGAGGATAGGGCTCCTGATTAGTAAATCTTTTAAACTGTAGTTTAAAGGTTTTTCTGCTACAAGATTGCTCTGTTCTTACAGCTAGATTTTTTGGTCATTTTTGTTGTTTAGTCGGGGGGTGCTAAGGGGGTTGCTTTGTTTTTTGTTAAGATCTTCATTGTGCATTGGGTAAGAAATGGTTATGAATTTAATCAGGGTGATCATCCCCATGACCTCACCAAAGAACAAGAGATTGCTGGTTCTCAACCTTGTATGTGCCAGGACCCATTTGTTAACTTCAATGGCCAGTCCCAACTCAGTGCCCCTTACTTCTGACCTGCTGCACCTTGCCCCCAGTGTGGGTGGGGTGGAGAAGGGTGTGAGGGGCATGTGGCCCCCAAGCAGCCCCTCACAAGTTGGAACTCTACCAGCCTGCAAGGGAAAAAAAAATAAAATAATAATCACGGTTTAACATGTTTTCCCTAGTGCACTGCCTCCCACGTTTAAAGGAGAAACCATTTTTAAAGTTTGTTGATCCATTTTTAAAAAATTTTTGCGACCCTTTCACATATTTTTGTGACTCACTTTTGGGTCATGACCCACATGTTGAGAAACACTACTGTATTATACCTTGTTAGGTACAAGGTGTCTCTACTTACAAAGCCAATAGTCTCCAAGGTCATCCTTGAAAGTCCTTTCCTTCCAGAGTAAAGGGAGGGTTCTTCCCTTTCTCTCCCCTCCCTCTGTCCCCCCACCCCCCAAAAGAAAAAAAAAAACTGTAAAATTTCCAATACTGGAAAAGATTTTCTGGACTAGACATACAAAATCCAAAAGCCACTATGTGCTTATTTTAGTCATTATAATTTGGCACTAGCCTTTTATGAGTATTTCCAAGTAACCTCTAAGAACATGCTGAATTTCAAATATGCTATGTAAAGCAGAAGCTGAATGATGCTAACAAATCTCCATTGCAACCACTACAGAAAGTATGGAGTTAAAAAAAAAAAAAAGCTGTTTGCTTCATATTGACATTTCGTAATTGGATTATTACACACGAAAAGAAAAACACTGGAATTATCCAATAGCTCCCTTTCATATTGGAGCATAGATATTAAAATAAACACTCATAAAACAATTAAAGGCTATTAAGAAGTGCGATAAGGGTTACATTCAGAACGTGCACTTGAAACATAAAAGTTTAAACCCCCCTCCCCCCAAAAAAACAACCCCTGAAGAGTAAATTTAGCAGTTAGTTTACCAGCCCTCCACAATGCAGAGGCCTAATCCCAAGGAATACATTTTAAATAGGGTCTGAAATTTGCCATGTAAATAATACTTCCTGTCAGAAGAATTTGTGCTTTGCTTGCACCTCAGTTCCTCCCTGCACTTCACAAGCCACATTCAGAAAAGTGTTCTGCTGTGTTCCTCCCTGCATTTCAGAGTGTATCTGCATCCAGACTTGTGTGTGCATGCACAAGTGTGAATTCCTCCCTGCGCTTCATAACCCGCATGTGCAGGCGTGTGTACAAGTGTTCTGCATCCCCCACAAACAGGCAGCCACTCAATGGGACAAAACCAGGAGAGAAGGAGAGACCAGCAGGTGAGGAGGGGCCACCGGAGGAAGCGCAGCTCTTTACTTACACCGCTCCTTGGCTATGATGAGCTTCATGGTAGGACCCAACTAGAGAGGAACGTGCAAAGACCCACCCGCCCGAGCCGACCACAGCCGCAACCCCTGGAGCACCCCGAGCCCCTGCCCGCGCTCCCCCGCCAGGTCCCGCGCCCCATGGCTGCGGCACTCCTCATTTATCCCGCGAGCCCCGGCGCCGCCCCGCCCCCGGCCGCCCATTGGCGCGGCGCGGCCCGACCCACATGGGCTTAGGGGTGCGCCCGCCGCCCGGG